GTGTGCTCTTCCGATGTAGTGTCTAAATTCGTAAATAATTAAACTGAGTTTTTGTATATAATTTTATACTACGGTTTTCTTTTCCTTTCCAAAAACTTTCATAATTTTTCAGGTGCTGTAATTTCATTATTTCTTTCATTTCAGTTGATTTAACTTAATTTCTTTCATTTACATAATACATTTGTTCGTTATACAAAAATTACATGTGTGAAATATATAAACTGATGTGACACAATATTTATTACTTATCATTTTCGTGAAATCGATTCGCTTATTCCTTAATGTATTGACGCTACCATAATCATTTATTTCATCTTTAAGCGTTTGAATTTGCGTAACGTAATGATGACGTAGTGCTCAAATAAAGCTGCAATTCTCATTAATTGTCTAGCTTTACCATGCGCAAGAGTATACTCTTGTATTTCTACCATGGTTTCAATTAAAACAGATTTAGCAACGCGAAATTATGGGGAAACATTTTGTAATACGGAAACGGGAGGGGGGACAGGAGAGAAAAGAGCCTAGAGATATGAAATTGACGTACGAGTATAAAATCCTTCAATTTACGCTGCTCCTTTTTCCTACAGGGTTTACTTTGTATTAAAATTCAATAAATAAAATTAATGCACATAGTGTTTCCGCATGGCAGAGTTACCACACGAATTGATTTCATCTCCAATTTCTGCGTATTTCGTCGTTGGCTTTCAATTTGTTTTTTTCCGCGCGCAGACTCATCCCCTACATCCGCGCCACACCACACACTCTCCGCCGCGGCCGCCGGTAATCTTTTATCGCTCCATAACACGCTCGCGGCTGCATCATTTGCGCATTTCTTTTTTCAATTTGTTTATTTTGTTTCCATGCGACAAAGATTTGCTTGTCTGTGCTAATAAATCACCGATATCCCTCAGTTTGCCAGGACAAAACAAGCCCGGCGGCCGCTATGCGCGGTTTGAAATCTACAGAGTGTCCGACAACCGTTGTACGAAATTTTAACAATGTTAAAATATCTTGGAATTAATTAGAGACAGATATCCCAGGATGAAAATGTCAGTATCGCAAGAATTTCCGAGTTACAAGCCGATAGTATCATGCTTTCGGATAACCGCGCTTACATGCATACCAATTTTCTGTTACACGAAATATTCGTCAAACTTTGCGTCATTTAAGTTTTTTTGTTTTTTATTGGAAGGAAAATAGTGATAAAATGAAGTTATCAATAAATATAAATGAATATAAAAATCGACGCATTCTAAGAAAACAAATCAGATTGCTAACTATTAACGCGTTCTTTATTAAATGAATTAGTTAAACTACATTGTATAACCATTAAATTAGTTCTTGTTCTTTTTTTATTTCATACTTATTATTTGCATATTAAAAAAATTTTTAAATGTCGTTGTTTCTTTTACGTCAATATATTGTTGCGCCCGTGGTATTGCACCCGTGTATCGGCGAGATTCCCGCGTCGACCGGTATCGATCGCGGAAGCAGACAAGAGAGGATCGTCCTCTTAGTTACGGTTGTTATCGGTGATACTTTGACTCATGATGCAAGTAGACATGGTGTGCTCTTGCGCATATTTATTGCTACAGCCAATAAGAGCTTTTATTCATCCATTTTTTGGCGGTAATTCAACTTACTTTAACTACTCAACCTTACTTACTTAATTCAACTTACTTTCACGTATAATAAATATTTGTAATTTTATAATAATTCTTTTTATTTTTACTTTACTATTTCTATTATTAAATAATATACTAAAAAAATGCGAGTTAGGCAAATTAATATTAATTTTCAAATTAAAATATGTTTATTAATAAAATTAACAATAAATGTACAGATACATTATTTTTTATTTGTTAATTTAAATATTTTTTTTTGTTGTTTACTTTTTTTATTTGAATCTTTAACATTTTTATTATATTCTTTAAGACTAATATATGTTCTCGTTCTTACAAGACATGCTACCACTTCTCTTGAAATCTTCTTTTGGAGAAAATGGTCCATTTTTTTTATTGTCAAATCAGTAATTGTAGTAAAAATAAATGGTTCTTTTCTCAATCCAGAGGGCCCATGATATTCTTCAAAATTAACGTTCATTAGTTCCGTAACTTTAATTAAATCATCGGAAGGGTACATACATCCTCCTCTAGAAACGGCGTGGATCCAACTGTATTTGGGGTCGGTTACGAACTGAGTACGCTGCCCTAAATCATACTTGTGTTTGAATCGATGAGCAACGTATCCAGCGATGTAAACCATTCCTTCTTTTTCAATTACATCTATTGCTTCCGTAAATTGTTCGACTTCTTCGAGAAGGTTTATTTCATCACTTGTTGGTTTGTAAAAAGAAATATCTGAGGATAAGGATGAGGATCATATAAGGATAAGGATAATTACTATAATTAATTAGGTTGGGAAATAACGCGTTACTTTATTAGAATGCACTCTTAATAATGACATTAATGTTTAAAAACAATAAATTTAATCTAACTTTTTATAAAAATAAAAGTAATATAAAGGAAATTTGCTCTGTATACAGATTAGTTTAAAGAGTTTCAAGTTTTAATATTTATTACATTTAATATATAATTATAAATAAGATAATCATTATTTAATATATAATTATCAATATTATGAGTAACGGAAACGACTTTTTTAAGATAGGATCCCCTGAGGATAATTCATATTAAATTAAGATAAGGAATACTTAGAATGCTCTTAATAATGACATTAATGTTTAAAAATAATAAATTTAATCTTAAAAGGATAAAGATGAGGATAATTCATTATACTTTAAACTTACTACTTCTTTCATTTTGTTCGTACTCATTTTGTTCATTTAATTCGTGTGAGTACTCACTGTGTGAGTATAAATCATTTTCATTGACTTGAAAAAGGTTGACTTCTTCGTTTATTTCGTCACTTGTTGATTTATAAAAAGAAATATCTGACGAAAAATATTAAATAAGGATGAGGATAAGGATAAGGATAATTATTATAATTAATGTTGGAAAATAATGCATTACTTTATTAGAATGTACTCTTAATAATGACATTAATATTTAAAAACAATAAATTTAATCTAACTTTCTATAAAAATAAAAGTAATATAAACTTGTTTTATATACAGATTTAATTTAAAAAGTTTTAAGTTTTAATATTAATTTATTACATTTAATAATTATTTTGTTTATTTATTTTGTTATTATTATTGTTATTTTTTGTTTTATTACTTGTTATTTTATTATTTCGTTCATTGTTATACTCACTGTGTTCATTTTCAATGACTTGAAAGAGATCATTGAATTCTATATCATTTTCCAACGTGGCATTGCTTTCAGGTGTAAGTTCATCAAGAATGTCACAATTGGTTAAGCACAATTCGGTAGAGTCATGATTTTCAGTGTTAGCACCTTCTGTAAACACGTCAGTGCTATTTTTTCCCAATATGTACAAACGTAGTCGGTTTCGGAATTCTAATGGCGTCGGATGGTCATAT